ACATCTTTGTTGGTATGTGGTGCTGGTGAAGATCGAACCCAGGCCGCACGCATGCTAGGCGAGCGCGCTACCGCTTGAGCCACATCCCCAGCCCCTGCATTCACCCTTTTACTTTCCATATCGTTTGCATGAATTTGACTACCCTAGATATGTCATGTAAATGGAATCTTATATTTTTTTCTTTGGAGATGAATAGCTCAGTATTAGAGTACCTGCCTAACATTTGCAAAACACCAAGTTTAATCCTCAGCATCACTCACACACACACACACACAAAAAATCATTCCTTTGTCTGATTTCATTTTGCACAGTGTCCCTATGGTTCATGCATACTGTAGCGTGTATCAGAATCTCCTCCCTTTTTAAGGCTAAATAATATTCCATTGTGTGTCTATACCATATTTTGCTTATTTTTCATCTGCTAATGGACACTTGGGTTGCTCCCAACTTTTGGCTATTGTGAATAATGCTGCCGTGAACATGGGTGTATAAATATCTCTTCAAGACTCTGCTTTCAATTCGTTTGGGTATTTAGCCAGAAGTGGGATTGCTGCATCATATGGTAATTCTATTTTTAATTTTCTGAAGAGTCACCATACTGTTTTGCATTTGGCTTAAACTTGACAGCGCATTAGAGTCGCGTGGGGAAGATTTACAAATTTCTGATGCTTGGGTCCTTCCTCCAGACTTTGATTTGATTGGCATGTGGTAAGACCTAGACATTGGAATTTTTAAATATTCCCTTAGTTATTTCTGATATGGTGAACAGTTTGGGAATCAATGCTTCCCTGTCATTTGCCTCTTTCTCATGAAATTCCATGCTAGGTTTGCTGGGATGATCGAATTCTGGCTATGTGAGACTTTATGGCAGGATCTGCAGGTCTGTGTCGCCATATGGCATATATTCCCTGTCTCCTGGGCTGTGTCTAGCCCCCCAGAATTGCAAGGCACATAAGATCCCCATTAGCAGTCAATAAGAAGACTTAATGATTACCCCCCAATGGCTTTGAAGTCAGAAAGCTTCTAAGCAGTCAGACCTCAATAACCTGCTTCCATTTTTTTGGTAATTAAAAAAGACTTATTTATTTCAAAGGGAATTTTACTTGGAATCCATTTATATCAAACAGATCAAAGAGGAAAACTATTCTATTGACTAGGGAATCAGGTGAGGTCACCATCCCAGTCGCCTCTTGTACTTTCCCAAAGCCCATCTCGGATTAGCCTAACCTCCTCATTGCACCTACCAGAAAATCAAGCCCCAAGAATTTAACTGCTTAATTTATCCTGCTCCAGGACCACGTCCTGTCAAAGTTCCCAGGGTGGAGTATCCCTGTTCTAAAGCATGCAGTATTCCCTGGGTGACCTTCAGGGTTCGTTTGCATTGTCAGATTGACAGAGTCACCGCAAATACCTCAATATAAGCCCACCAGGTAAAAAATTCCCAAGTAATGGGGGTATTCTCTCTGTTACTTTATTCTGAACCACAAAATGTTGTTTGGGGAGGATACATTGGCTAGAAATGACCTCTATTGGTTCTGGCTTTAGATGTTTAGAGAATCACCTGATTAGATAAGGAATCAAGGAGTCAATGGAATTTAATCACAATTCCCAAAGCAATGAGGTCTCCGCCACAAATGTTTGACATCCTTTAAAGGTCTTTTAAGGGGCGGGGGTTATGCAGTACATTGGTAGAGCACTTGCTTAACACGTGTGAAGCACTGGGTTTGATCCTCAGCGCCACATAAAAATAAATAAGTAAAATAAAGGTATTGTGTCCATCTACAACAACAACGAAAATATATTTTAAAAAGTCATCTAAAAAAGCTCCATGCTAAGTCTTTATGAGAAGGTGAGCACAAATACACTTATTTCAGATAAATGGAGTCGGGGTGGGGATGCTGCTCAGATGTCATGCAAACAAGTATTTGGAGCTTAGGATGCAATTTCCAGTGGGGGGTGGGGGTGGGGCATTATACAGAAATTCATGACATCTCTCCATAACCACCACTAGCTAGAAGTGAAGTTTTTATTCTCTAGAGATTGTATAAGATGCCACAAAAAGTGACTCTGAATAGAATAGTATTGTTTTGTTGAAATGTGAACAGAAAAAGTACTATATTTCTAAATATTTTCTGCAATCTGTGATTTGAAATGCATGTAATCAAGTTATGAAATCAAATAGTATATGTATGAACATTCTATCAATTCCCTAAAAGTCAGACTATTTTATCTCTAGCCCTAAAAGTTTACATATTCAAATGGCCAAAAAACATTTCGGGGGGATTTTCACTCTGAGAAAATGAGGGATTATTGTGTGTTTATGTTTGCTTTATATTTGGGCATATATAGTATGAGAATTGAGAAGTTAATACCTTCATGTTTTATCCTTGCCTTTTATTGAAGATGATTGCAAGGAATATCACAGAGGGGGAAATCTACACATGTAGTAAGGTCGTTGAGAATGCTACCATACACGTTTTGTTGTATAAAATAGTCCTCATGGTATACTTCTTGTGAAATGTAATGCCAAGGGGAAAAGTATACCTTTCAAAATGGGTATATTTCTACCTTTATGATAAAAGTGATTTGTAAACACCCTATTTCCCTTTTTATTTATCAACACATGATGATCATATAGAAAAACTAGCATGGATTAACACCTCCCTCACCTTCTAATTATATTTACTTATTTTGCCCAGTGCCTACATTTTTCTCTATCTTAATTCTAATTTTAAAACTTGGACTGGGGATGTGGCTCAAGTGGTAGCGCGCTTGCCTGGCATGCGCGGGGCGCTGGGTTTGATCCTCAGGCACCACATAAAAATAAAATAAAGATGATGTGTCCACCGAAAACTGAAAATAAATATTAAAAAAAAATTCTCTCTCAAAAAAAATCTTAATAGCAGGAGGATAGCAAGTTTGAAAGACCTTGTCTCAAAAAAAAAAAAAATGTTGGGGTGGTAGCTCAGTATAACCCCAGTAGAAATAAGGAAAAGCCCAAATTAAATTAACTAAATAATATACTTAAAATACTCACACCTTTTTTTTTAAAGCCATGTTACTATATAGTCAAAGCCTCAAAGATACAAAGAATATATCTCATAAACCAAGCAGTCTTGTAGCATTCAAGAAAGGGGAAGGAGCCAGGAACAGAACCATC